TGACTCCACACGCGCACCTGAGCTGGCTGGGTGGCAGCTGGGGAGCTGCTCTGGGCTGGATTCTTTGCAGATGTCAGTCAGGTTCGGCAGCCAAATGGATCGTTCCAATTCCAGCTCCCCCGAGGCTTACGGTGGAGCGGAGGCTTCTGCCGAGGCTGGGGATGAGGTGGCTTCATTTTCAGTTCGTGTTTTTCTGTGTAGATTTTGGCTTTTGCCCAAACTGACATCGCTTGCAGGTTAGATATGAAAAACACTGCTGTTGCTTTTTTGTTTGTCATAGAACTGGCTGATCTCACTGGAAACAGGAATTCTGAGGCAGTAGCGAGCTGCCTTCCAGGGGAACTGATGCAGATTGATGTCAGGGAACTGTTTTCTTGCCGACAAAGCGAGGAGTGTAAGCCCTCTCCTGCTGGCTGAGGAGGAAGCGCTCGCTCATGAGACAGTCATGAGATGAAGTGCTTTGCTCAAGATAATGTTTTCCATTTCTTGTCAACAGCGGGCTGCAAACGCTTGCAGTCTGAGCAGAGTCCTCTTCGTAGCATAATGTCTGCGTGGTTCTCCTTGCTCGGGTGACCGGAGCAGGATTTTGACAAGAGTTAAAACCGAGAAATAAGAGTTCCAGCCTCAGACCATCGTACGCACCCGGTGACCCTCAAACCTTATCTAATGCAGTTGTGGTTGTTGCTGTCTAAGAGATTACATTGCGACACTTCACACTGTTTCCCTCAGTGTAAATACCGCGTTGTTGGCAGTCTAGACAGCGTGTGGTGAGTGTGCCAGACCTGGGCAGGCTGAAGTGCCTAAACCAGGTGATTCCCTGTGGCCTGGTGCTGGTGGAATTTATGATCTTTCCAGCACCACGAGTGCCTGTTTCCTCTGCCTTGCAGCGTGACCAGGAAAGGGTGTTGGTGGCTCTCCTGTTCTGCAAATGCCTCCACTTGTTCATTTTTTCCCTCCCAGGAGTAAGTGATTAACAGTCACTCTCTTGGTCACTGCTCCTTGTGACCCTGATAAAGCTCTGACTCAAGGTTACTTTTAACTGTGGAGCAAGTGATGCTGGGCTCTAGCTGGGACATCAGCGTATCCTTGGAGCGAGGCAGGAGGCATCTTTACTACCTGCTCACAGCTTTTCTCGGGGCTGGTAGCAGTGTGATGAGCTCTGGGCACACGGTACCTCAGAAGTTGTCTGTAGTGCTGATGTGTGAGCTGCTGCTGTGTGAGACAGGAGCCTCTGATGAGCCAGCTGGCTGTGGCCTTCGATCAGGTGTCAATCCTGAGGTTAAACCAGGATAACCCAAGAGTAGGAGGAGTTTGGCTAAGGTGAAATTCAACCTTTTGCGGTGTAGTGCCTTGACCTTTTCTCAGGAGACAGGAAAGATGTTATAAGGTTTCCTTTTAGCAGCGTGCCAAAACCCACAACGTACTGTAGCAGCTCTGCTGCTCGGCTTTTGAGCATGAGATCTTCTTGCTTTGCCAAGTCCAGGCTTTCACATGGGCTGTTTCAGCGTTATGAAGCAGGATGCTTCTGTGATTAAAAGAACCAAACCTTGAAGTTGAGTGTTCATACTAAGGTCGTCTTACCGTTTGTTGGACATAACTGCAGTGACACCCAGGATTACTCCTTTATCACAAATTTCAGATGTTGTTATCCCTGGTTTTTAAAGATCCTGCAGTTGTGTATCTTCCTTAATGTCCAATGTCAACTTCACATAGTGTTGGTGTTTCTGGTGGCATTCAAATTACCCCTGGGTGCAAGCTTGCATCGGTGTATTGCTGTGACAGACAGGACAGTGGCAGGATTATTATATCTTCGCATTCCCTCAGGTGCATTGCAAGTAAAGGCAAAAAGTGCTGGCCACACAACTCAGTACCTAATCCTTCCTGTAGAGTTCATAACCATAGAAGTGGTACAGAGCTGGGCCCAAAATCTGCAGAGCTGGGCCTGCTGATAGGAATGAAGCTTTGAAAACTTCATGTAGGATATTTCAAATGGTCTGAGGAAGTACCTGACTTGTGACTTGCTTTCTTTCAGCTTATAAAACTGTATCGGGTGTGAATGGTCCCCTGGTTATCTTGGATCAAGTTAAGGTAAAGTTTCAGGTGCTTAATGAATGAAACTTTTCGAGGGAAGGTTTACAGGAAAAGCTGTCACAGGTTAAATCCCGACTGTTGTGAAATTAATCGGTCCACTGAGCAATTTTAATACGATTCTGACTGCTGAGAGAAATGACAATATGCAAATTGCTGTAAGGAGAAGGTGTCTGTGTCCATGAAAGGGAGAGCTGTGGGGACTGTTGGGGGGAAAGAAAGGAAACAGTGTTTTGGTTTTACCAGAATCCTCAAAATGTTGTCTAAACTTGAATGCAGAAACATACCTATTCACTCTGTTCTTGACCTTTTTGTTACCAAAGCACAAATGTTCTGTAAAAGGGAATTTTGGGCTTGTTTTCACATTACTGGGCAGTTACTGTTGAAGGTGAGCGACTGGTGCTGTCCAGGCAACAACCAGCTTTCTCTTCCTCTTGTCAGATGCCACGTCGTGGCTTTCCCTTAGTATTTCAGGACTGTTGGGGTTTTTGGAAGGGTTTCTGTTAGGTCTTTCTGCAGCCTCTAACTGAGGAAATGTTGTATAGTCCCTGTAAAAATGACGTTAGCCTGATAAATTTTAATTGCCTTGGAATGAGGTTTGTTCTGATGATAAAATTGTTTTTAAAAATAGAGTAGCTGTTAAGCTTAAGCATGCTTGAAATTGATAACTTTTCATGACTGTTTAATGCTTTCCACCATCTTTCTTGCTCATCTTCAGTTTCCTAGGTACGCAGAGATTGTCCACTTGACTCTTCCTGATGGCACAAGAAGAAGTGGGCAGGTTCTGGAAGTCAGTGGCTCCAAAGCTGTGGTTCAGGTATGACTAGGGACAGGAGTGTCTCTTGTTGCAACAGAAAAAAATGAATCAGTGTGTGTCTGAGCCACGTCAGATTTATCTTGTGATGTGTTCTTCTGGTACTGTAAATTAAAAAAAAAAAAAAACAACCTACTTATTCCGAGTGCAAGTGGCATGAATAATTTTAGAAGATTGAAAACTGGAGTACAGTGACATTTTTTATTTGCATCCCTCCCCTAGATTTCTTTGCTGCTAGATTAAAGGAATTGTACTGTAGTTGTGCACTTGTTAGATCCAAGATCAACTCCTGTGCTACGTGGGTGCAGGTATTTCTTCTAAGCAGCCGTCTCTTGTTAATATTAATTATCCTTATCTGAAGAACTTTACCCTGGTGGCGAAGGGAGATACTTGAGATCAAAGGAATGGCACCAGGTTTGTTGGTTGCTGCTGATACACTTCATCAATTTTGTTTAAAGTAGGTTTTTAATGGGATGTTTTGTAGCAGCTCTTGAAATTCTTTGCTTGCAGAGGACTGCCTTGTTTTTCTGCCCTGTGGCTGACCAAGTTCTCAAGCTGTGAAGCAGCATTCTAGTGTGTTATTTTGTAAAGCACAATATTTAGTCCTTTTTCTCCTGGTATATTTACAGGTATTTGAAGGAACCTCAGGTATTGATGCGAAGAAAACGTCTTGTGAGTTTACGGGGGATATTCTCCGAACCCCTGTCTCTGAGGATATGCTTGGTAAGTACTTGCATAATGCTTTGAAGAATGAACAGACTTATCACATGCTAACTTATTTTCACAGTAATTTACGTTTTGATTTTACTGCTCTTTCTTGTAGGCAGAGTATTTAATGGATCAGGAAAACCTATAGACAGAGGCCCCATTGTTTTGGCTGAAGATTTTCTTGACATAATGGGTATGTTCTTAATCCATTCCTGGTGTGGAATTAAATACAAATCTGGTGTTTCGGATTTCTGAATGTTACAGTAGATTTGATTTTGAATGTAGGATCTAATTGTTAGGCAGAGTTTAATCTTGTTTTTAAGTATGTTTGTGGCATTAAACGCAAATAAAATTTATACAAATGGTACCACATTTATACAGGAGGTAGCAGAATAAAACTGTTTAATGTTTGGAGGCTGTTCTTTCAAGTATTTGTAGACTATCCTATCATACAGCCTCCAAAGATAAAAAGCTGATAAGCTGACAGGCTTTTCTTGAAAGCACTCTTACCATTTACATGACCACAGAATGCCAGAGTCCTGGGATCTACAAAAGGCTCAGGACCAGGAGCATGTAAAGATTTCTTGGCCTGATGGTGGGGTTTGCACCTTTTGAGATGAGCCTTAGATCAGTGCTCCAGGTCAGTGGTCTGACTGAGCTTCGGACATGTACATGGAATAATGTGTGTTCTCTTCAAAACTACAGGTCAGCCAATCAATCCCCAGTGCCGTATCTACCCAGAAGAAATGATCCAGACTGGCATTTCTGCTATAGATGGTATGAACAGTATTGCCAGGGGCCAGAAAATCCCCATATTCTCAGCTGCTGGCTTGCCCCACAATGAGGTGAGTACCCATAGCTACTCTCTAAACAGTTAGTGGCTTGCATTTCACTGAGGTTAAAAGGTAAACCAAGTTAAATTCTGTGTAATAGCATCAAATATACAGACTGAAACATTTTTTTCCCCTAGATTGCAGCTCAGATATGTCGCCAAGCTGGCTTGGTGAAGAAATCCAAAGATGTGATGGACTACAGTGAAGAGAACTTTGCCATTGTGTTTGCTGCTATGGGTGTAAGTCATTACTATTGGAGAGAAATGATGCTTGACTAATAAATAAGACAATGCTGGGAGTAGCTGAACATCACTTTTTGGAAAGTATTTTAAGTAGATCTTATGTATGTAACTGAAAGTGCTAAATTGTGTGGCTGAATGGCTGAAAATCCCAGATGGTCAGAAGTACTGGAACAATGTGTCTGATCAGGATAAAATACCCTAATCTCTAGCCTGGAATTCTAGAAATAACTCATTCTTCTAGAAATAACTCATTATGTTGGGAATTTAGGGGAGTCTTTGTGATAGAGAGCTTTGCTTATGGATTATTAATGTGGTGGTTAGACCTTAATACAATGCAAAAATGTGGTAACCTAAAATCTGGTCTGGAACTGATGCCATAATGTTGTGATTTAGGTGAACATGGAAACTGCTCGGTTCTTCAAATCAGACTTTGAGGAAAATGGGTCCATGGACAATGTGTGTCTGTTCCTGAATTTGGCCAATGATCCAACGTAAGTAGTTGTTGGGAAAAGGCTGAGGAGAAACAAGTAAACGGGAAGCTGAAGTCTCACTGGTGTCCTGCCAGCTGTCACTTAACGTTGATGTTTTGCAACGAAGTTAAGGATGAAATGCTGGTGCTCCCGTTGGTAGCAGGTTTTCAGAGGGTTTTAAAGTATTTGTAACTTCAGACTGTTACCTTGCAGTCTTAAAGCACTTGTCATTAATACTGCCGCGCTGTTCCGTTTCAGCATTGAGCGCATTATCACACCTCGTCTGGCTCTCACAACAGCAGAGTTCTTGGCGTATCAGTGTGAGAAGCACGTGTTGGTCATTCTGACAGATATGAGCTCCTACGCGGAAGCTCTGCGAGAGGTACGTGATTACGATCTCGTGTGCTGGGTGTTGGCAGGAAGGGTTTGTGGTACGAAGTGAGAATGTAAACTTTTGCTGAAGCTGTGACAGTAGTAATTACAACGTACTTAAATAGCCAGCGAGGCCTTTAGTTATTCACTGCTTGTGAGAGAGCTGAGCTTACCTGGCTGGTGGATATTACAGCCCCAGGTTTGCCTCAGCATCTCCTCAGACGTGGTTATGGTGATGTACTTCTCTTAACAGGGGGTTGTCTCGCTGTATTTTGGTATCCCCTGCGGGAAGAGGTACTTTAAATCGCTCATGTAGCATAATTAGGGGAGACGGCAGGTCTGTGTGAGTGATCTGACTTCTTGGAAACGTTTTTCTGGATTGCCTCAGGTTTCAGCAGCTAGAGAGGAAGTGCCCGGCCGCCGTGGCTTCCCGGGTTACATGTACACTGACTTGGCCACTATATATGAGCGTGCTGGGCGTGTGGAAGGCAGAAATGGCTCCATTACTCAGATTCCTATTCTTACCATGCCCAACGATGGTGAGTTATTTTCAAGTGTTTTTAATAAACAGCCCTTGAAAGGACTCCTTTAGAGCAACCTGCATTATTTTGGACACGCAGCAAGATAGGAGGTCCTGTGGCCTTTAGGTTTCCATTTGACTGTTGCAGTTCTTGGCTGCCTTCTCTGTCTGCATTGCCACGAGAAATGCTTTGCCTGTCTCAGACTTCAGGACTGTTTTCCAGCCCCCTGTCAGTGCTCACAGCTCTAATCCTCACATAAGAGCATGTAGTGATATGTGGGGGTACTGACTGATGGCATTTTACTTTTGAAGTCACTTAATGGCAAAACCCTCCCTCATCAGAGCTAGAATGGATATAAAAGGTCTGAAAACTGTCAAACTTTTTTTTTTTCCGCAGATATTACTCATCCTATCCCTGACTTGACTGGGTATATCACTGAGGGACAGATCTATGTGGATAGGCAGCTGCATAACAGACAGGTGTGTACCACACCAGTTAAAACGCATTTCAGATTACTCTGTACTTTGTAAAGTATTAATGTTGAAATTATTGAATGTTTTTTTCCTCCAGGTTTACCCACCTATTAACGTCTTGCCTTCCTTGTCTCGACTGATGAAGTCAGCTATTGGAGAGGGCATGACCAGGAAGGATCATGCAGATGTATCCAACCAACTGGTATGTAGAAACCTCTTCAGAGAAGCAGAATCATATTTCAGATAGGCATTTTATCAAACAACCTGTAAAGGGAATGCGATTGAGAACGCTCCTGAGGCTGCCTTAAAGCACTGACTGTTTAGTGAGCCCCTTTGAGTTCAAACAGAACTTATTACGTGGATGATCAAGGTAACAGCACTTCTGTTTCTGTCCCTCCTAGTACGCCTGCTATGCTATCGGAAAGGATGTGCAGGCGATGAAAGCTGTAGTTGGTGAGGAAGCTCTTACCTCTGATGATCTTCTTTATCTGGAGTTTCTGCAGAAGTTTGAGAAGAACTTCATTGCTCAGGGTGAGTGTTTCTGAGCATCCCAGTCCGCCGTAACACCTGGAAGGTCTCGTCCTCAGCTCTGCCTGCCGGGGAGACCCCTTCCTGCCCCGTAGTTCAGGCTGTGGTTGCTTTCTGCAGGTCCCTATGAAAATCGCACTGTTTACGAGACCTTGGACATTGGATGGCAGCTTTTGCGAATCTTCCCCAAGGAGATGTTGAAGAGAATTCCTCAGACAACGCTGGCTGAATTCTATCCTCGAGATTCGACTGCAAAACACTAGCTGCAGCTTCACCTCTAACTCCTTGCTCTGTGAAATGCTGTTTGTTTTCTTTTTTTTTCTATGTGTTGGTGTTTACTTGTCGCCCTTACGATTAAAACCAAGAATAGGTGACACTTGTGCCAGTGTTCCAATGTACACTGATACCAGTTTTTAAAATATCCCTTCTTCCAAAGCCTGGATCTTCAGGAAGATATTTTAGGCCAGCTCCTACAAATGTGCAATAGCTCTCCTGAGGCTTTTTTTTTTTTTTGAACTGGACCTTTTGTAGACATTTTGAGGGAATGTCTGAGGATTACCAGAAATTTGCAAATCTTTACTTTCAAACCAGGAGCCACGTGGTTTAGAAAAATGTGACTTCCTTTGTCCAAAGCATCTGCTCAGTCTGGTTGTGCTGCTGTAGGACAGATGGCACTCTGCTGCCGGGCCTGAAGACCAGGCTGAGGTGTGGAGAGCGTGGTGTGTGAAAACATACCTTTCTGAAAAATGCAAGTCACTGTTTATTAACTATGTCTTAAGATTCTTAAAGGTATGTGTGGACTGAGGACACGAGTAGGCATGCTAGGTGCTTTTCCACTAGCAAAGGATCTTTTCAGAGGTGACAGGCCACTGCATTGCTACCTTCAGGTAGCATGATCAGGCTTTATTCCTGAGTTAAAGGTTTTAAATTGAAGTTTGCACAGTAAGCTTCCTACTTACCCTTTTTTTTTTTTTTCTTTGAATTCTGGAAATGCCAGAGACAGAAAACAGCAGCTAAAGCATTCTGAGATCAGTAGTGTCCCAACGGACAAAATAATAATTCAAGGCTTTGTGCTGCTACTGAAGGGGATTATGTGAGATGTGAAGAAAAAAAAAAAAATCAAACACCCACCCTCTTCTACCCGACGCAGTTGTACTGGTGGGAGGTCAGCTTTTAAAGTATTTACTAAATGATGCAACAGGAGAAAGCAGCTTGATGTGTGAATGGATATTTTGAATTCTGTTATAAAGCATGCTCTAGGTGGCACTGGGTCCCGAGTCGTGTTTGAAACTGTTGTGGTTTGCACTCCAGGCACAGATTTGGCTAGCCAGGAGAGCTCAGCATTCCCAAACACTGCAAACTTGGCAAGTCAATTCAGTGTTGGGTTGTTTTTTTTTTTCAAATTGGTTCAGACGAGGCTCCAAGCCCAGTGCTGGCAAGCTTTCTTGCTTTTTTTCCAGGCTTAATGTAGTCTAAGCTCTGGTCTAGCTACCCAAAGCATGTTGCACCTCTCTAAACGCCTTCGGTGCTTGTCTAGGAAGGTGCGAACATGACTTGAACGATAGTGCACTACTTCCAGCTTTCCCTGACGTCTCCGATGTGCAGTTCTTTCTATAGTTTGTTCCGTGTTCTCTGTAACTTGGACGCAATAGCAACTTTATTCCAGTGCATTCCACCCTAAAGCTGTGTCGAGTCTATTTTTCTTGAGGTAGGGATGGGAGGTCGGAAGTGTTGGCATGAGAATACTTTAATGTAGAGAGTATCTAAATAAATTAAATATGGAAGGTGTTGAGCAACGTGGAAGCTTTTGTGATTTTGTGGTTTGGAAACAGCTTCGGGTTTTTCAGCAGCGGCTGAGATGTCGTTTGCCTGGTTACAGGAATGAAATTACTTCCTAATGTGCTGAAAACACTTTTCACTCCTGTTTCGAGGTGAAAAGTGGGGGCCACTTGAGGCACCCCCACATTACAACAAGAGGGTTTGTCCTTGGGTTTCAGGATGAAGGCTCTGTGCTGCGGGAGGAGGGGTGCAGTCACGGGGAAGGGCTTTGCAGGGATGTTGGAGGTGACATGATGCCGCTGTGTCCACACGTTGCCAGGCTAGGAAACCTTAAAAAGCTTCTTGAAAAGGAGCTGTAGCCATATGTTGACTTTAAATTTCTGGATGCACAGTGCTAGTAAGGATGGGAGGGGCCTGGGTAGGTTTATTCAGGTGTTCTGCTTAAATTCCTGGTGTCGGTCCCTCTCCGTGGATGAGTTGTACCAGTTTCCCTGCTTCAGGGATGTGGCTGGTGAGGGTGAGAACACTGAAGCAGGGAGACTCAGGATCCTTCCCCCTGTCCTCCAGAGAGCGGCGGCAAACCCCAACACACCTTCCTTTGAACAACGTGCACATCAAAACCAGTCACTTAATGAGGGAAGAAAGGCCCTTTCTGCTGATTTTGCCGTTCATCTCTGAAGAGCTGTGCCTTGATGTGCTGAGCCGCGCCGACACCGGCTCCGTAAACAGAGTTTGTTCTGACTGATAAAAGCCCGAGGCTGTCTCAGGTCCTCTCCTGTTAAGTGTTGTGCTGTGCTATAATTGAGCTGTTTCTTGTACAGAAGTACAAGTCCTTGAGGTGGTAAAGACATTAGCTCATTTTTTAAAGAACTCATTTAAATGTCCAAGCTGGTTCCTGCTGTGTGTTTTTCACCAGTGGAGAGACCAAGTTACAAATCCCGTATCCTCAGCATTAATAATTGCTTTGATTGTCCCACAGAGATTGAAAAGACTGTTCGTTTAATGTGGTGGAAGAAGAGGAAGGAGGATCTAGTATGCTAAAAACATGTCTGATGGCTTAAAAAAAAGTCAGGATGGGTGCTTTTGACTTTTTCTACTCATTTACCCCCTCAGTTACAGTTTGTCTTGAGGTAGAGAGCCTAGGGTTAGGGCACGGGAATAACTTCATGAACAGATGGCAGCCCGCAGGTTTTGAAAACATGAGTAAGAGGAGAAATTCCGAAGTCCAGTGAATTCCTGAAATCCTTTAGCAGGTGACAGGTTTTGGGGACAAAGGTTGAACAAGCATTCCTGAGCGTGGGTGAGTGCCTCTCGGATACCTGCATACGGATAACTGACATGGCTCCTGAAATGTCCATGTTACAGAGCAAAGCAAAAGGAATTCTGCAATTAGAAGAGTATATTTAAGCTCTGATTTGCAGCTGGTGGGAGCAAAAGGGGAAGAGTGAGATGTATTTTGTGGCTCGGGGCAGGCTGCACAAGCAAGCCATGACAGCGTGGCTCAGCCCAGGCAGAGGTTTGGGATGAATAAAAATAGTGAGGGTGGCTTTGTGCCGGGGATAAAATAACTTGTCTGCAGCACCCGGGAGCTGCGTGGCACTGCGCGAGCGGCCTGGGGATCCCTTCCCCTTGGCAGACGTGTCGCTGCAGTCCAGGAGGACCTGACACAGGTCCTGTATCACCTGGAAATAAGGTTATTTTTTCAATTAAATATTTAGGCACAAGCACGGCTGCAGAAGTTACCAGACCCGCTGGAAGCAGAGGTGATGCTTTTCAGCTTGGATGGTGCTTGTGGGGACTGGGGGGAGGGCTGGCTCTGGTTCTCGTGGCTTTGTGAGGTTTTGTGCACAAAACCACCCTGCTGAGGCTCTTATCTGGGGGACTTAATTCAGGCTTACTTGCTGTTTAAACCTCTAGGACTGCTGGTTTAATGGGGCACGTATGTCAGGCAGAGGTCTGGTGGCAACATCCAGCTCTGACCTGTCCCCTCCGCTCCCTGGACTCACACACGTGAGTGGATTCCTGCCGGCATCGCCCGAGCCGGCTCCTGCTCTGGCCCTGCAGCCTCGGAACGGGGCAGAAATCTGTCGTCCGCCTGCCTGGTGCTCCCCGGCTGCCGGAGAAAATGCATCCGCCGCCACAGGCAGAGCATCGCTGTCGCCCTGTGCTCACAGGCGCGCTCCTGCCTGACCACGCACCCTGTCCTACGGCCTGGAAGCTCCCAGGTAGCCACAAGGGCCCTGGAAGAGGGGAATGACAGAAGCAGCAGTCAGCTGGAGGCCGCGAGAGATGGCTGGGACTTGCAGCAGGGTTATTTGAGCACTGAGCTGAGAACAGCCCCGCGCCGGGAAAATGGGGTGGGAAAGCAAGGAGACGTGCGGGGCTGGAGTGGGGTCAGGTCTCCCCTCTGCTCTCCGGACCCCGATCCACGGGCAGGCGTGGGAAGGGTGCCCCTCTGCGTGGCGTCGGGCCATGCCAGGAGCCACCGTGGGCTCCGTGTCCCGGCCCTGACACGGCACTTACCCGGGCGCTGAACAAACAGCCCGCTCTTCCATGGCGTGGGGACAGCAGGTACCATGCTAAATGGGACGTGCTGATCTCCCAGCTGCCGCCTTAGTGCATTTACATGCTGTTTTCTTTTTTCTTCTTTTTTTTTCTTTTTTTTTTTTTTTTGGTAATGACTAATGAGGACTGCCTGGGGGTCTTATCCCCCTTCGCCAACTGATGTCAGCCAGTCGGGTCCCTCGGAAAAGCACACGCCAGCTGTCGGCTCATTCAGGAGGGGAGGAGAGCAAACATTGGACACGTTTCCCCCACCCTGCCCCTTGGGTTTTCAGTTGGGACTGGCAGATGTAAGGCAGGGGAGCAGGCTGGTGGGGAGAGCTGCTGCAGGTTATTTGCACATCAAAAGCAGCTTTGCCTCCAACCCCCTATCACCCTGCGAGCACGAGGTGGCTCGATTTAATTGCTCTTTCAAAGGCAGCCCTGGTCTTGTCTCTGCTGAGATTTTAGGGCTAACTCTGCCCCCCATAGCCAGAAACTGATGCAGTGGCACCGGGGTGTTAAAAGAAGATGCAAATCAGCTTTTCTCTGTCTTGAAGCTTATTTGCATCCGCTGATTAGCTCAACAACTAATTCAGACTCCTGTTTGAGGACGGTTGGTGCTCGGGCAGCTGGAGCAGAGTGAACCCAAAGCACAGGCGAAGTGGGGAACCCCAGTGTCTGGGGGGAGATGCACGAGCTGCTGCTGCTTCTCCTGGTTTGCCCCCTCCAACACCTGAGCCAACTGTGTCCCTCGCACTCGGGCGCTTCCTCCCCCTGGGAGCCCTGGCACAGGCCAATGCCATCCTGTTCGTGTTCCACCACCCTGTTTGTGTTCCGCCACCCACAGAGGAAGCGCTGGGTGCCACAAGGCTTTACCCCGGTGTTATCGGGGCTTCTGCTCCTTCCTGAGCCCTTGGGCATGGAGCAGCGGGGTTGCAGCAGGGACCTGGCTGCCCGGGCCATGGCTGTCCTCCACTGCTCAGCTTTCCTTGTGATCTCACAGCATCCTGACACCAGAGCCGTATTTCTGATTGTGCAACAGCCCTACGAGGGCCAGGTACTGCCCGCTACTCCGTTCCTGCTGCTGCCTGAGGCAGAGGATGCTCTGAGCCATGCCTGGGGGGGACACACTGCTTTTTCCCATCAGTGTTAGGCTTTTGGTGGAAAAGGGGTGGCACCAACCCTCACCTGGTTTAATGGAAGAAGCATCCCAGGGTTCCCAGGGCTGTGGTTTTGGCTTCACAGCCTCCTGGGCATTGCCAAGAAGCTGTCCTTATGGTGTGTGTGCCCTCGGGGATGCTGCTCTTGCTCCCAGACCTGCCCTGACTCTTCCTGCTGCTGCTCAGCCCCAGTAAGGCTCCACTGTGCTGTGGCATTTGCAATTTGGTTGTGGCCTCTGCGGAACAGGGATGTCCCCTGGGATAGTGGCTGGCTCGGGGGTCTCCCCCCTACTCTCCTGACCCCGATACACAGACAGGCCTGGGAAGGGCTCGGCCGAGCTGGCAGCACCCCGCAGCGGGCAGGCGATGGTCCGAGGGGATTCGTAACAGAAGGTGCCGCTCAGGAGAAAGAGCCCTCACACGTGGCTTTCTATCTCCTTCCTCCTCAGCAGTTTTCAAAGGCTCTAAAAATAAACTTCCCTCACGCCTCAGGCAGCGTGAGCAAAGCCAAGGTTTCCCTGGAAAGCACCAGCGGGAGCTGGGTGCCCTTTTGGGGGGCACGGAGCAGCTTGTGTGTGGCTTGGGCCCCCCCCTTGCTCAGTGGTGGGGCAAGTGCCCCGTGGAAACAGCCAGAGGAGTCAGGATGAATAGTGTTTTCTGTGATTTGAATGTTCCCCCCGATTTTCTGCCCCCCTGTCTCCCCCTTTTCCCCGCTCTGTGCCGTTTAGATCTGAAACCACCGGTTCCATGCAGGGCAAGTAGACTCTGAATCAATCGGTTTGTGGGGAGAGGAGCTTAAATAGTCAAAACACATTCTCAGTGTCATCAAGGCCTTCCCGCTGTATCTCTCCTCCTGTAATTGTTTTCTCTGTGTCTCCCCAGGAGATGGACCTGCCCACCTCGGGGACGGTGAGTTGGGGACCACTGGGGCTGGGGGGTTTGGGCTGAAAATCCCCAATCGGTCTCACGTGCAGAGCAGGAGGGTGAAGCCCGTGGGATGCGGGCTGGGAGCGGGGCCAGGTGGATTATCTCCTCTCTGATACCCCCGCGTTTGCTGGAGGCAAGTTGCTGCTTTTCCATGCATGGGTTGTCCCAGCTGCACGGCGGAGATAACGCCGCTCGCCCATGCGGGAAGGCGCTGGTGGGGCTGGAAACAAACAGGGCCAGGTGGAAGGACGTCCCCGAAGGGGACTGTGGTGTGCTGTGATAAATGGTTTGTGGCTTGGGGGGGGGCGATGTGCCCCAGAGAGGGGCATGGCAAAGCGCCGTCCTGCATTGTTGCTTGCTGGTGGTGGAAACCCTCCCAACACTGCCAAGCCAGGCACTCAGAGAGGCTAAGTAAGTTTTAAAAAATTTATTTATAAATAAAAACATAAAATTACCAGTAGTTTACATCGGTCACCAGAAATAACATCCAAAAAAAACCTCCAGAAAAATAATTATATGTACAGGCTGAGCGCGGCCGGCCGCCAAGCAGGCGCGGGGGGGGCCGCGGCTCACACCGGGAGCGACACAGCTGCGACGCGGACGGTCACACACAGCGTTGTGCAAAGGCAGCACATCGATGCCTCCGGGCGATCACATCACACAGCGCTGGCTGGGGGGGACACGGGGCCGCCTGGGGCGACGGGGACCTGGGACGGTGGCGCTGAGGCCAGCGGGAGCAGGGCTGGGTGTTGCGGGGATGGGGCAGCCTGGGGGGGGAGCTGGGGGGCTCTGCTCCCCTTGGCACCCCGTGTGTCTGGCACTGGAAAGCTCCTGGTCACTGTGCTCTGGCTGCGACGCGGGTGCAGAGGGGATGCAGGGCTATGGCTCGGATGATGCAGAAAATCCCTTCTGGCCTCGCGAGCCGGAGCGCAGCCACGTGCCATCCTTTGTCCCTAATCCTTCTGCTCTCCAAAACATCCTTCAGCAGGTCTGGGCAAAGGCTGGCTGACCTGACCTGGCCTCGGCCTACAGCCGCAGGGCTGGAACGGGGATCTGAGGTTGGTTTTTCTCAGCGGACCATGGCTAAGGGTCGGCTTGTGCTGTGTGCCAGCGCCGGGACCGGCCGGGCTGCCCCGGCGGGGGTCTGGGGGCAGGGGCAGAAGGCACAGACTGGTTTCTGTGTGTCGCCATTACAGGCTGGCTGGAGCGGGGTGAGGGATGCTGAATTTTGCTGCTTGTGCACAGCTTTGAGCCCTTGGCCAAATTTGTGGCATGGAATCATGCAAGAACACTGGGACGAGGCTTCCCGGGCTGGTGCCCCCTTAGCTAGTGGGTAAACAGACATATTGCAGTAAAAATACCTCTGCACTAGCACAAAGTGGTCCCAGTTGGAGGCCTCCACCCTGGCAAGCTGGACACTGGCTGATTCCCTCCCCGGCCATGCTGAGCTGTGGGGGGGACAGGAGAGTCACTGCTGGTGATGTGCAGTGGAGCCTTGTTATGCGCTTGCTGGTGGCAGGAGGAATTGTGAAGAGCTGGGGCAGAAAACAAAATGAACATGGTTGGTTTGGGTTTGTTTAACCAGCTCCTGTTGGCGGGATCCCGTGGACGTAAGGACGTGGGAGGAGATAAGGCAGTGGGGTTCCTCAGTGGCAGCGAGTAAGGGGGAGTGTGTGGGGTCACGGGGCAAACACAACCGATATACCCCTCGATTCCTTGGGTCAGACTGTGGCTTAGAAATTTCTGTGAATTCTTAAATCCAGTTGCCCGTCTGACAGCTGGAGGAAGGGGACACTGGGTCCTTGTCCGGCAGCGGGGATTGCTGGGCTCGCCACAGCCGTGCGGGTCCGGGGAGGAGGAGGAGGGCTGTGGCCAGGGGCCGGGGTGGGCTGTGCTTGTTAGTGAAAGGTGATTCCGGTGGGGGTGTTGGCTGTATCGAGGTGGGGGCGCGTGGGTAGGTCCTTCCTGAGGCACTACAGCAGCCCAAGGATGGGAGAGGTGGGTGTGCAGCCTGCGCTGGCGGCAGGAGGTGGCTCCTTGGTCCCACAGCAATCGGCTCTGACGGGAGGGAGGTTCAGGAGGGGTGAGAGCAGCTTCCTCTGGGCTGTGGGAAGGGGGTGGCTGGAAGTGTGCCGTGGCCGATTCCTCTTGAAGACGGTGAGAAGGGCTGTGGTGTCCCCATCCCCGGAGCTGTGCCATCACGGGATCCCTCTGAGCCTGGAGCAGAGCATCCCCTGGGAGTTTTGCATCATCTCGTTACCCGACGGGAGATTATTTGCTGAAGTCCTGTTCCCTGACCACCCCCGTCGCCGGCTTCTCAGTCCTACAAGGGGGCAGAAAGACGCTGCTGAGGCGGCAGCGGGGACAAGGAGGAGCTGCTGGCACGTCACCATTGGCACAAGTTGCTTGTTCACCTCTTGTAACACGACAGGCGGGGAGGGCACCGCCACGACGCGGGGAGGGGAGAGGGGCTGGCGAGGTGGCCAGGCCACCAGCTCCGCTAATAAATACACGGCTCATCCGAACTGTACAGGGTGCGGGCCGAGCTGCGGGGCAGCGCTTCTTGCCTGGAAGAGACGCCCGAGCTGCAAGGAGGAGAAGGCAGATCTGGCTCAGATCTCAGTGGCAATGATGTCCTCGTAGGGGACGTCAGCGCCGGGTATGTCCAGCTCGATGGGCTCCTTGCCATCTTCCCCTGTGGCAAGCTGCTGGAGCATCTTCTCTAGGTTCTGGTTCCTCTTGTACATGTGCAGGTAGCTCTGCTGCAGCTGCTTCTGGTAGTGAATCACCTTCTCCTTCTCCTCCTTCCACGTCTGCCGCTCATGCTGGAAGCCGGAGGTCATCTGCTCGTTGTTGTCCCGCTCTGCCTTCAGCTCTGCCCTCAGCCTCTCCACCTCTCCCTGCAGGGCTTGAGCATCATCCACCACGGCGCAGGGCCTGGCCACCTCCCGGGCTTCGCTCAGCTGCTCCTTGAGGACGGCGAGCTCCGTCCGCAGGTCCACGATCTCCTGCTCCAGCAGGTTCACCTTCTCCCTCAGCAGCTCGGACTCGTTCTTCTTGCGCTGGAGCTCGTTCTCACACACCTCCAGCTCCATGGCTTTGGTGCGCAGGGAGCCCTCCAGGTCCTGGGTCTTCATCTCCAGCCCTTCCATCTTCAGCCTCACCTCCTTCAGCTGAGCCTTCAGGCTGAGGATCTCGGTGGTCTTGGTGTTGAGCTCTGTCTGGGACTCCTTCAGCTGCTGCTTCAGGAGGGAGATCTCGCCCGACTTCTGGCACACCTGTGGGGAGGGATGCAGCACCCAAGTTAGGGCTGTGCCTCGGAGAAAGCCCGCAGCACCCACAGTATCCCATGCAAGCCGTGCTGGGCACAGTTGGGGTTCGGCATGTGGAGATCTCAGCCACAAAATCCCATCCAGGGAGATGCCCCAGCACAGGGAACAACACCCCAGGCTCTCGGGGGGCTGGAGGGGACCCCACACTCTCCATGCATCAACACCCCAGATGGCACGGAGGGCTGTTAGTGACCAGCTGGGAGGATTTAAGGGGCTGACACCTCTCAGCTGAGGTGTGGCATTGGAGGGTGTTGAGGGAGCGCTCAAGTCCCAAGATCCCGTCCAACACGTTTGCCGAAACCACCGCTCACGAGGTCAGTTCAACTCACAGAGCTCATTTCACCAGCAGACCCCAACTGCACCCTGCAACCCACAAAACTGCAGCTCGGGAGCCTGAAGCGGGGCTGGTACCGCCGCTCCTCCAGAAAGCTGCTGGGGGGTCGGAATCCAGCCGCGCTGAGAGGGTCCCTCCGGCCGTAGTTTTGGTAGAGCTTGCTGACAGCCTGGAAAAGTGGCTCCAAATTGCAAATAAACTAAAAATACTGGAAGCGATAGGAGAAATCCCTGCATGCGAGGGAGCGAAGGTGAACACCTCCTGGCAGCAGCGAGGCCTCTCCCCACGCAGCCGCTGGGAAATACCGGTCTGTGTTATTCGGGCGGGTGAGCAGGCTCGTGTCTGAATTTTCAGCAGTTTAACAGCCTTTGTTCAGCGATACCCAATCAGTGAGAAAATTAAGCTTAAGCAGAGAGTGGAAGGTTTTACTGCTCTTTAATAAATGACCGTGGCAAGTCCGTGTAGTTCCTATTTACACGGGGGAAGGCAGCTTTACTGCTCCTTTGGGCCAGGCAGCCTGAAAAACCCTGCGCTGGAGTTTGGAAGCACAAAGTTATTTTAATGAGTGGGGTTTTTATGCAGTAGTTGTTTCCTTATATGATGTGAAGTGCTGAGGAGTTAAGAGGGGCAGTGAGTCACTTCGATTATAACTTACAGAGCCTCCACGTGACAGACTAGGGCTCTCCTTGGCTTTAATATCTCCCTGCTACAGCCCGGGCTTAGCACGTGCACCATCTGCTCTGCTTAGACCCTCCCTGGGTGCAGGTGGAGAAATGGAGAGGAGCTGAGAGGTTTATTGCTGGCACCAGAGCTACCTCCTTCCATGTTCACCCTTTGCTTTCAGCACTGGCAGCCCGAGATACCTCCTGGTGCTCCGGTGCCACTTACCTCCCACTGGGTCTCCTCCAGCGCTGGGGCGAAGCTGGTTTTCTCCTTCTCGTAGGACCTCAGCTTGGTCTCCAGCAGGTTTTGCTCTTTCATGAGGTTCTCCAGCTCCTCCCGGAGCTGCTTCTTCTCCTGCTGCAGCTGAAACACCTGGAGGTGAAGGACCTGCTGTGTCCGCTGGGTTTTCTGGGAGGTTTGCTTGAGCTTGCTGTTGCACTTCTGCTTGAGACCCTCCAGCTCTTCCTTGCAGCGCCGCTGCTTCTCTTCATAAACCTGGCAGGAGCTGACTTCCTTCTCCTCGAAGCTCGACTGAAGCTCCTGCAACTCTCCCTCCCTCTCAAGCAGCTTCTGCTCCAGCTCCTGGATGGTGGACTCGTCCGTGGAGATGGGCGAACGGATGCAAGTGGTCTTCTCAGCGGCGTGGTGGTGGGGGGCTTTGCCGGGGTTGAGGATCTTGTTGCCCCCGTCGGAGAAGGACATGGCCTTGAGGCTCATCATGTTGCTGTCCTGGATGATGGCGCACTGCAAGATGTTGTGGGCTGAGCCCCCGAAGCGGCTGATGGGTCCCATGGGCGTGACGAGGGGGTCGAGCTGGTAACTGCTGCTGGTGCTGTGGGTGGGGAGGCTGGACATGGAATTCCTGCCGGAGTCGGACAGACCCCCCGAGCACAGCACCGGCTTCAGCTCCTGCTCCTTGGATTTGTCCGGGGGGTGCAGCTGCTGGGAGAGGTGACCCCCGTTCTCCGGAGAGGAGTGGAGGATGGCGCCGGCCCGGGGCAGCACCGGTTTGAAGGCGGTCGGTCGTGCAGGCGGCTTCTCCGCGCCCTGGGGAGAAGAGCAGAGCCCATCAGCACAGACCAACACCACATCATCTGTCCTCCCCCATCCCCCGAGACCCTTCTGCCCCCAGGGACGGTGGGGATGGCTCAGATCTCCATCAAGGGCCAAAAGCTCGGGAGGATGCTGATGGCTAAAACTGCCTCTGAGGGGGTGTTTGGAAATGAAAGGGTGTGGATTGCAGTGTTAATCCCCACTCCTGAAAGCTGGGGGTGGCAGAGTACCCCCAGCACCTCCCGGCTGCCCCTCTCGTCCCGCTTCCTCTGCACTAACTATTTTCTCTGAGCCTTCTCCCGGACTAGGACCAGGTGGGACCTGCACCCGCTTCGGGGGCACTTTTGGGGCTGCCATCTCCCCTACTAACCACTTCCAGCGGACTGGGGAAGGGCATCAGCTTCTGCGGCGTGGGCGTCCCGAAGTCCATGCCGCTCGTCCCGGCCTGGCTGCCCAGCTCCCCTCCGGCAAGCGACGTATAGTCTGCTCGGTGGGAGCCGTGAGATTTCTGGCTGACCTTGATGTAAAAGAAGTCCTCATTCTTGCTGCTTTTGGAACTGGACTTGTGGCCGGAGTCCTGGGAGAAGCCGAAGCGGAGCAGCCCGTCCGAGTACCTGTTGAGCTTCTTCAGATGGGATGACTTGCGGAGCTTGTACTGGGAGGCTCGGCAGTGCTTGCTGTGGAAGCTGTGGCCAGAGATGAGGCTACTGACGCTGCCCATGCTGCTCCCGGGCAGGGGGCATGCGGCGGGGGGAGCGGAGCCCGGCTGGACCGTGCGGCGAGGGGTCCGGGCAGCGGGTAGAGCTGGCTGCTGCTGCAATCATAGCAAAGCCCTCGCTGAGCCTAGGGGAGGCAAAGAGAGCAGCGTGAGGGAAAGGGGCTTGGGGCGGGGGGACGTGCGGTACTGCCCCCGTGGTCTGGGCATCGGCAGGATGCGGTTTCTGTGAGTGTGTAAATGCATGCCTTGCACGCATCGCCCTCTGCAACTCCCTGCCAGGAGGGGGCAG